GATATTGGAAGGCTGCTATCATGTCTCCCCTGGTCCTTCTTTTCATTAAACTAGACATACCCAGTTCCTGCAGCTGTTCTTCCTTTCGCTCTGATACACAGCCCCCCAACTCTCCTTCCCCAGATCCGAGGCTTCCTGTTTGTGGAGCTGAGAAATAAAGAGGAAGGCTCACCCCAGTCATCGTAGCCGTGGGTCAGCTCATGCCCGATAATTGTACCGATCCCCCCATAATTCAAAGACCTGTAGGGGTGAGACAGACGTGATGAGTTGGTAACCAGTGAAGACAACAATCAATTGACCTGAACTCTTGCAAATATGGACTATTGTGGAATAGGGAAACAGACCTCCAACTGCAACTGGAAGCCAAGCTATTTTTTCATCGCTCTTGTAACCGCGATGGTTTGGTGACGAAGCCGTTACTAAACCGGGACTCCTGGTAGTTTAAGAGATTGAGATCAAAAGCTGTGCGCGTTGGAACGCTGATTTTGCTGTGCGGAGTTGTAGTAAACCTTCAGAGTGGTGCGTTGGCCCAGAGACGGAGCTCTCCATCAATCAGGAGGCTGTGAGTTCGATCCTAGGTAGAGGCGGATATTTCTCTCTCTGGGCACAATGGGACTATATCTGCTGAAAAACAACTCCGCCCTGGTGACAGGAAGGGCATCTGGCCAAAAAAACACTCCATTCAGTTGCCCAGACTCCGCCCCGCAAGGGATTATGGGGCTGTTAAAAGAGGATGAGGATGTGCAGCAAAACTTCAGAAATTGGAAAAAAAAGTGGAAAAGATCATAGAAGCATAGAGCCACAGGGTGGGAAGGGACCTTGGAGGTCTTCTAGTGCAACCCCTTGCTCAAGGCAGGAGACCTTACAGCGTTCGAGCTTGTTTGGGAGATAGGACATGGCCCTAGATCAATGTTTTTCAACTTTGGCAACTGGAAGGTGGGTGGACTTCAACTCCCAGAATCCCCCAGCCAGCACAGATTTTCTGTGGAAGTTCAAGTCCATCCATCCAGGGATTTGTCCACCTTGAGGTCAACCTGAAGTCCATCCATCCAGGTGTTTGTCCACCTTGCCATCAACCTGAAGTNCAAGAAGCAATGGGTGGAAACTAATCAAGGAGAGAAGCAATTTAGGACTGAGGAGAAATTTCCTGACAGTGAGAACAATTAATCAGTGGAACAGACGTTGCCTCCAGAAGTAGTGAATTCTCCAGCACTGGAAGTCTTTAAGAATATGTTGGAGAGCCATTTGTCTGAAACGGTATAGGGTTTCCTGCCTAGGCAGGAGTGTTGGACTAGAAGACCTCCAAGGTCTCTTCCAACTCTGCTATTTTATTGTATTGTACTTCAAAGGAAAGGCTATAAATAATCACAGATTTCGGTACTGGCATGTTAGTGGGTGCTGGGTAGAAGGGAAACAAAGCTGACTTTCGTGTCACAGCAGCGTGCAAACATCTCAGCCCTGGGACGCAGCTCCGTGAGCGTGGCAATTCAGCGGTGATCTCATTCCACGTGGGTCATTGTTGCACACGCAAATGTCGCCTTTGCAATCGTTAAATAACGTTTTCATTGTCCCCTGGAGGTTTGCATAAAGAAAAGAGAGACGAGACGGAATCTCATTTTGCCTTCCCTGCGCACCCCGAAATGGAACATAATAAAAGATGAGTTTAGGCTAAGACCTCTGTCATCCAAGAGTGAGATTTAAAAATTATTTTTAATCTCTGCGGGGAAAAACAACAACAACAGAATAGCAGAGTGGGGAGGGACCTTGGAGGTCTTCTAGTCTAACCCCGGCTCAAAGCAGGAGACCTTAGGCCCGTAATTTCAAACCTATGACCCGCGTGCCACAAGTGGCATGCAGAGCCCTTTCCGCAGGCATGCGAGCCACCGGCCCAGCTCAGCTCAACCGCGCATGCACGCACGCCTCCCGGCGGCCAGCTGGTTTTTCGGTCTCTGCCACACATGCGCATAGGGCGGGGCGCATGTGGGAGACTTGGGGATGGGGGGGGCACAGGGATGTGCAAAAATGACCTCCCAGGGCTCATTTTTGGTCCCAGGAGGTTGCTGAGAGTCCTACTAGCCCCAAAATGGGGCGCGGGGGGAGGGGAAGGGTTACACACATGGGGGAGCGCAGGAGAGTTGCGCATGGAAGTGTAGGAGTCAAGACACCAGGAGCGTCATGTGCGCATTGCATTAAGGGTGCAGGCGCGCATCAGGTTTGCAAATCCCGGTTCGCTGATGCTTGCCCTTGTGCACAAGATTTCTGCGCAGGCGCAAAAGCGTCTTGGTGGGTGGGCGGAGCCTCCCGCCACCGCCACGCCGCTACCGGTTCGCCCAATCTAGGCCGAACCGGGAGCAACCAGCCTCTGGTGCATATGAGCCCCTGTCGCCACGCAATGACAAAAAGCTTAGCCGAACAATTGTTTGTCTGTTCTGGGAGTTGAAGCCCAACAAGTCTTAAAGTTGGGAGGCCAGAAGTGGAAAGAAAAACAGGCCTTGACAAGGTCTCTGGGGAGCTGAGTTCAGGTTCTGCCAAGGCTGATTGGCGAGGGGAGGGGCCCGGGTGCAGCTCTGTAGGTAGAGAGATCTTCTACATGGGGCTGCCCCTGGAAAGTGTTCGGAGACTACAATTAGTCCAGAATGCAGCCGCACGAGCGATACTGGGTGTACCTAGGTACACCCACATTAC